TTTTTTTTAAATTTTAAAATAAAACAAACTCTTGTTGTTAATGGTGTATTACAAATTCTTCTAATAATTTCTGATAATTTACTTGTTAGTCTTTGTTCTACTGTAATTGCATTCTCATCAGAAAGATATCGGATTAATGAATCAATAAGATATAATCCAGCTAATAAATATGCTGGTGGTGCTGCATCTATAAATTGTTCAACTCTAAATATTAATGTTTCGATTGAATTAGGATATTGATACACTAAATCAATAATTACTTCTAATGATTTACATCCAACCATCTCAGGTCCATGACTAATATCAATTAAAGCATTTACTAATTTCATATCAAATTGATTAGGGTCATTTGTAGTTGACATCTTTTTTTCTTTGTCTTTTTAGTTCTTCTTTTCTTATCTTTTTCAGCTTTCTTATTTTTTTTATTTTCTTTTTATTTCATTTTTAGCTATTCTTTTCTATCCCTTTTTTTTCCCCTCTTTTTTCGGGATTTCTTTTTTTCCTTTTCTCTTCTTTTTTTTCAATTACTTCGAACATTCTCTTTATTCCTTTTTCTCTTTTTTTTTGCCACGTTTTCTTTTGTTTCTAGTTTTTTGTCTTTTTTAAGTCTTTCAACCACTATAATCGCCAAATACTCTTGTCTCATCATCTTTGAATCACAACACTCATTTAAAATATCTTAATATTTAAGATATTTGTATACTTAATAATTTCTTCATTTATGATATTTTATGATGTTGTTAATCTTCGTTTGATTTTGGATTTTTGAGTTAAACTATTTTTCTAACTCTTATTTTGTTTTTATTTTCATTGATTTGACGTATTTCGTTTTTATAAGTTCAAATCTCATTATTCTTTTTCAGTTTTCTTTCATACTTCCTCTCTTTCTATTTTTTTCTTGTTTGTTTTCAGTTCATGTAACGATTTCTATAAATAGTTAATAGACAAACGATGAGTGAGTGTCCAAGGATTTTCTTTACTAATAATTATTTTCATTGAGATGTAGTATAACAGAATTTTCTGATTATTATTTATAAGTTGTGAACAATCTTTTGTTTTTTTAAGATTCACTTTCTCATCCTTTAAATAGTTTTTACTTATTATATTTTATAGTATCTTTCATACAACATTATTTTGTTATTTGTCTTTTCATTTTATTGTTGATGTTTCATCTTGTTATGAAACAAAATAGGAAAAAATACCTTATTTAACCAAAGCAATAGCAATACTCTTCTGATAAATACCTAATTAATCGTTTTTTCTTTATATCTGAGTGTTTTCATGACATGATTTATCTATAACTTCTCTTTGTAGTTTTTGAGTGTATTTAATTTATCAACCCATTTTTTATGTTCTTTAACATTGAGGCATGATGTTTCTGTGATTATTTATTCAGGATCATTATTTCTTTTACGTAACTCATTAGATACTAATAAATAAAAGAATTTTAGAATATATTAATATAAGAATAAAATTATTTATTGATGAGGTTGAATAATCTTTTTTACTTTCTTATTCAATCAATTATACACCATCCAACAAGAATCATATCATTTCTAAACCAAGGATATCAGTTGGTATTTTTTGTAGTAATATATATTTCAGTCTAATAATGAACATTATGTATTTGATGATTGTTCCTTATTTTTATTACTGAAGTATTTAATTAATTCATCATAGAGATGTATTCATTATATTCACAAACGTTTACATATTTGATTTCAAGTGAATTATTCAATACTATTTATTACACCATGTAAGACATAGTGTATTGTACTTAGTTTCTAGTTAAAACATAAATTTCATCAGAATTATTATTTGTCATTATTTTATTACATAAATAATTCTTTCATTTTTATTATCACAATTAATTATTGCTTTCTATTATTCATTATTTGTTATTCAACGAATAACGTATTTGGTTAGATTATTATTTTAGATGTAGTTGTTTCTCTTCATTGTTAATTTGGTGATAATAGTTTTTTTAATTTCTAGAGTATTTATTTCTTCTTTTGTCTTAGTTAAGCACTTGTTCATACTGTTTTTCATTAGAAATTCCTTATATAGAATTTAAGAACATATTTTTGAAATGATGTTCTTGTGTTTTCTTAGTGTTTCTTTCGTTAAATTGTCTATTCTTCATGGCTATTATCCATTCTTTATAAAATATAGTGAATTTTCTAAGAATGAATATTTCTTTATACTGAATGACAATTAAAATACACCATTTAAAGTGGTAAAAATTTTGTTAAATTCCTGAGAATTATCGTTACTTTTTT